CCTTCGGTTGGCTACCAGAACTCAAGCGCCGGAATGCAATGTTGGCACTAAAAACTACCAAAGCGCTTCACCGGAAATCGGCCAAAATACCGCAGAGCAACATTCGGGCATCGTGTGACGGTTTCATTGGCCGTTTGAATGTCATAAATCGTGCCAAAGGTAACCAATTCGAACAAATCTAAACATATTCTAAAATTTGATGCTATTTCCGATCCGATATTTTTTGCTTCAATTCAATAAAATTAGAAAAAAATTTAAATATTATGGCTTTTGACTTTGTTGCAGTTTTTTTATCTCACCCTATATGAGGGGTGGTTTCGGAAATGTGTACTATAATTGTACGAAAAGTACTGAATAGTACAATATTTTGTATTGGATGAAGGGATAGAGATATAATTCTGAAATTTGATGTTTAGATTACTGATGGTATCTGGGCTTGAGATTTGGCGGTAGTTTGGCAATGTGTACTGGATTAGGACAAGAAGCACTAAATGGTACTCAATTTGGTATTGGGTGAAGCGATAGGGGTGGGATTTGATATTGATGTATGTGTTGGTATCTGGAATTGAGATATGAAGGTGGTTTTGGATATGTATGCTATAATTGTACTATATTGTACGAAAAGTACTAAATATTACTAAATTTGGTATCTGGTGATAGAATTAAGCTGAAATCCTGAAATTTGATATGGATGTCACTGTTACTGTCTGTGGTTGGGAGAAAGAACTGGTTTCGGAAATGTTCGAAAGATACTAAATTGATCTAAATTAGGCATTGGGTGAAGGAATAGCCCTGAAACCCTTAAAATTTATATTATGATAACTTTTGGTGTTCAGGATTGAGATATGGAACGGTTTTGCAAATGAATACTAGAATTATTTAAAATGTTATTAAATTTGGTCTTGGTTGAAGAGGTAGAGATGAAAATTCAAAAATTTGAGATTTAGATTTCTGACGGTATTTGTGTTTGTACTAAATGGTACTAAATCTAAATGCTGGAATCCTCAAATATTATATTGAGGTCTCTCTTGGTATCTAGTGGCTAAATTTTACTGTTTGTGTCTAGGATGGAGAGATGTAGATTGTTTTGTAGATAGTAACTAAATGTTACTAAATTTGGTATTGGGTGAAGGGATAGAGTTGAAATTCTGAAATTTGTTACTGAGGTCATTGTTGGTCTTTAGGGTTTACATATACAGGCGTTGAAATAGTTTCGAACGGAACATTGGATGTGGGTCCATTAAAAAGAATTTTTTTCTGTAAAAGGTAAACATTTTCCTATTATTTTTATACCCTCCATTCCGTTTGTAAAACATCGAAATATATATTTTAGGCCCCACAAAGTATATATATTCTTGATCAGCATAAAATTCTATGTCGATTTAGCGATGTTCGTTCGTTTATCCGTCTGTGGAAACCACACTAGCTTCCGAACGAAATGAAGTAGGTTGATACAATTTTGCTCAAATGTATATTATGTGTGCAGGTATGTATATTAGGTCTGCTGGTATTGAAAATGGGCTATGTGGGTCCACGTTTTGATATAGCCCCCATATAATGGTACCTCTCTTTTCTCGGTATTTTGGTGATTTAAGAGACTTTTTTTTTAAATTTGATATTTGAAATTCGTAATAGATACTAAAGCCTATGACAGAAAATTGTCTGTGCCGGTCCATGTTTTGGTATAGCCGCCATATAATAGTACCACCCTATATTCGGTATTTTGATGATTTTTGCTACATTATTCACCGAATTTTTTTCAAGTTACGCATTTGAATATTGTTATGAATTATGACAAAAATTGCCTATGCAGGTCCACGTCGACCCTAGTAGAACCTACTATAATGGCTTAATTCGGTATTTTTAAGATTTTCACAGAATTTTAGGACCGATAATTTTCATATTTTACAATCTGCAGGGTTTTCCTTTTGTATTTATAGGAAGACTAACGAATCTCTTGAGATCTTCTCTTTTAAACAAAAAATTTATCTGAGATCAGATATTTTGCTTTACAAGTATATGTGTCTCCTGAGTTCAAGAGGCCATATTTTTTTATCCCATTAAATACTATCAGTCCTTGAGGACTATTTTCGCTATAAAAATTTCCATTTGTTGATATTTACAATTATGCCGGCTATCTAATCTACTCCGAAACCTAATTTGTCTAATCTATAGTCCACAGTTCATCATAGTTCATTGCGATGTACTTGCATATGTATGTATGTGTGTGTGTGTGAATGTGAAAGTGTCGGTGAAATACAAATACATTTGATAACTGACACATCTAATTACGTCAAATAACAGTCGATGCAGGGATTATTGCGTCAATGCCCTCCTTTTTTATCTATCTATCCATCAAAATAAAAAAAATGAAATAAAAAACGAACAAACAGTCGTCATCGAAACCTGTTACAGACAGATGTGATAACTGCTTTTTTATTTTGGCAAAAAGGAAAACAAGTTAAGTTATTAGTTTGTTTTGCCGACAGATGTATAGCCCCAGCCTTGAGTTGTGATTATTCTAACTGTTGACCCTTTATGGAGGAGGTTCCGAAGCAAGACTGATATAAATATTACAACTTGCCATATTTGGACTGTATCATCTATTTCCTATACTTTATATGAGATATTTGTAATTTCTTGAAAATTGCGGAAATATGCGTGAGTAACCATATATAGCGGACCGAAATATTATTTATTTAATACAGATAAAAATATGGAGTTGTGTAAAATTTAAAGGAAATCGAACACTTATATCCAGTTTTATACGAAATCATAATATCCGATAAATTACATATTCAGATCAGATTTCCTGATCTGGTTTGTATAGAATCACTTACTTCTTTCGCAACTTATGACAAAAATTGTGACTCTTTGCGGTTGAGGCATCAGAGTGGGTTGGCATATATCTATAATTTTCTCCACAGATTTTGTGTTAGCAAAAATGTTTGTGTGTATGAAATTTGAAGAGAGTTGGATCATTATTTCGCGTTTAATTGGCGTTTCATTTTTCAAAATTTTGAAACTTTTGTGGGAAAATTACCAGAAGGTATGGTCGAATATCTACCATCATTTTGACAGATTTAGTGCTGATAGAAATATTGAGATGTGCCAAATCTCAATGAAACCTGAAACTTATTTCCGCGTTTTATGATCTTCATGGATATTCAAAATTTTGACCCTTTGTGTGGGAGGTACCAGAAGGTGTGGACCGATACATTCCATATTCACAGCAGATCTTGTGTTAGTAGAAATAATGGTATGTTTGAAATATAAAGAGAACCGGATGCTTATTTCGGATTATATGATCGTTTAGGTTATTCAAAATTTTGACCCTTTGTGGGGGAGATACCACAAGAAGTGGTCCGACCTCAACTGTTTTTATAAAAGATCTTGTGCTGACGGAAATACTGAGATGTGCCAAGTTTGAATGGAATCGGAAACTTATTTTTGTGTTTTATGATCTTCATGAATATTCAAAATTTTGACCCTCTATGTGGGAGGTACCAGAAGGTGTGGACCGATACGATAAAAATATTGCGATGAGTGTAATTTGAAGACAATCGGACTCTTACATCACATTTTATATAATTTATAATTTTTCAAAATTTTGACCCTTTGTGGGGGAGGTGCTTGATAGAGTGGACCGATATTGTCCATTTTCGCACCTGACCTAGAACTGATGCAAACATTAGGGTTTGCAAAGTTGGAGCAACATCGGATTGTCTTTTCTTTCTCTGTGCAGTAAAATATTTTTATACTCTCCACCACAGTGTGGAGGATTATATTAAGTTTCTCATTCTAACACCCCGAAATATACATTTTAGACCCCAGCATAAAACTCTATGTCGATTTAACGATGTCGGACCTGTCTGTCCATCTATCCGTCTGTGGAAATGTATGTTATGTCTGCAGGACTTTTGGTATTGAAAATGGGCCATTTAGGTCCACGTTTTGGTATAGCCCCCATATAACAGTACCTCTCCATATTCGGTATTTTGATGATTTTAGCGACATTATTTGCCGGAATTGTGATACCGAATTTGGTATTTGAAGTTCGTAATAAATACTACAGCCAATGACAGAAAATTGTCTGTGCAGGTCCACGTCTTCGTATAGCCCCCATATAACGGTACCTCTCGATATTCGGTATTTTGATGGTTTTAGCGACATTATTACCGATTTTTTTAAGTTTCGCGCTTGAATAATAATGTCATGTCGTCGTACATACCCTAATATAACAGCTACTTTCGGTATTTTTAAGATTTAACAGAGTTTTTAACGGATTTTGTTTTTGAGATTTGCCGAATTCGTTGCAAATGGTGGAAGGTGTTCAAAGTTCGGCCCAGCTTTTTTACTTTTTTTTTTTTTTAAGTTGACCTTTTGTTGGGGAGGTGCCAGAAGTAGTGGACCGCTATTGCCCATCTCCGAACTCGATTTAAGTGTGATAATAATTTTACGATGCGCCAAGTTTGAACCAAATCGGATGCTTCCTTAGAGGGTTATAGTGCGCGTCCGGACGGACAGACGGACATCGCTAGATCCACTCCAAATGTCTTGAAACAGATTTGGTCCAAAGAGACCTGGGGTCTAAAAACGTTATTTCGATAAGGCACGTTTTGGCCGTATCAAATGATAAATACCCTCTCTAGACATATGGCTGAGGGCATAAAAAATACTGACAACATGCTCCATAAAAATCTGTAACACACATACATAAGCATGGACTTCTTACAGCACTTGGAGTGCTGGGCCCATTAACAAGACTACAAAATATAAATTTTAATGAGACCCCTCTTTTTTGTGACCCAAGGCAAGGAAAAGTGTTTTTTTCGTGGAAACGAAAGTGAAAAAAAAATTAGGACAATGGCCATTAAGAAAACACCAACAAACAAATAACAACAACAATAATATTTAATTTACTTAAATTCATATGTGATTTCTTTTTTTTTGCTTCTCTTTTCATGTTCTCGTTTTTTGTGGCTCCTGGTGGCGTGCAGCTGTGGTGGAAAAGGGCAACATGACGTTTGTTCCTGAAAATGCACTGCTGGGAAGAAAACACCGCCATCATCAACAACAACCGAATCTGGCAACAACAAAATGTACTTTAATTATAGCCATGTGAAGTAAACAAAAGAAGTGCATTAAAGAAGAAAAAAAAAAAAAAACTAAAGACAAGAAGTAGCATTTCCAAAGGCCTTCTTGCCGCAATGAAATCCCAATTGAAACAGAAAATGTACCCCCATTAAAAGCCGGAAAATCGAAAAAGAAAACAAATAACAAAAAGTGAAATAAAAACGTCAATGTGAATGAAAAACGTAAACAACAAACAAACCGAAATAATAGAGAAAGAGAGAGAGAGAGAGAGAGAGCGAAAGAGCAAAACCTGTGTAAAGTGAAATAATCCTCAAAATATTTACCCAAAACTTAGACAGCTTCTTCATCGTCATATCATCATCCTCATCATCTCCAACGGTAGCACCATTTCCAGAGGCGTCATGATTATCATTGAAACTGAAAATTGTGTAAAAATTCAAAGATGTAAACATTTAAATCGTAATGTAATTAAATCGAAAAAGTAAATTTATTTAAGCGAACCAAAGATAAACAGAACACGAAAAGCTTTTCGAAGAACTAAAAGTAAACTGAGGCCAATGGAGGGATAAATCCGAAATACAAGCAACAAGCTTAAATACAAATCTTGGAATTCTAAAAGAAAACAAAAACAAAGGAAAAGAAAACATAACACTTTAAAATCAACCGAAAATAGGGCCACTAGACAGATAAACAAAGGGTCCTAAGAGGTCATGAAAGGCAATGAAATGTGCGTGGAATAAAAGTTTTCACAATTTAGTTTTCCTTTTCAAAATTGCCAACGGAAATATCTAATGTCCTACAATTTGGCACTCTTTTTAGTTCGACGCGAGTGTCTGTGTGTGTGCGTGTAAATATATGCGAGTAGTCGTGTGTAACTAACAACTAAACGCCAATATCTTAATTTTCCCTTAATAACATTGAAATTTTATCTCTCCTCTTCTGATTCCACGTATTTTGGTTTTCTTCTTTGCCACCAACAAACTATTCTAATATCGGTTTTCACGAAACAAACAAAGAAAAATTGCCAAAAAACAAAAACAAGTCATAAAAAACGTTAAAGGAAAAACAATAAAGATTAGCCAGCAACAGCAGCAGCAACTATAAAATTAGCCATCAGCGACCAACCAGCCAGCAACAGCCCCATCATCATCAAGAGGTCAATGGGTGAGTTCATTTTGGCCATCAAATTCAACAAAACAAGTTTTAGACGACATGAACTAAAATTCGCAAACAAATATCGGCCGACGGAAAGAGGGCGCCAGAATTGGGTCATCAACCATCATTAGCAGTCAATTGAGGGCAGGTGTAAGACATTTAGAGAAAAATGTCATTGATATTTGCCAAAGGAAATTGACCGCATTTAATTGGGCGCCACAGTGGGCAATGGGGGAGGAAGAGTTTCTAAAAATCGCCATTGGATAGTAGAATAGCAATTTCGAAATTTTCTAAAAATAAATAAAAAATAGAATCCGTTAAGGAGTTAGGAATTATGGGGTCCATACAAATACATGTCATAGGCTCTAGTACCCATTTCGAAGTGGAAATACAAAATTTGAAACAATTCCGGAGAATAATTTAGCGGAAATCATCAAAATTCCGAATATAGGGAGGTACCCTAAAATAGGGGGCTATGCGAAGACATGGACCTGCACAATAAAATTTTCTGCCATAGGTTGTATTATCCAATACGAATATCAAATGCGAAATTTGAAACAATTCTGGTAAAAAATGCCGCTAAAATCATCAAAATACCGAATATCGGAGGTACCGCTATATGGGGGCTATACGAAGACAAGGATATACATGGCCCATTTCCTGTGTTAGGCTGTAATACCTATTACGAACTTCAAATACCAAATTTAAAAGAATTCTGGTGAATAATGTCGCTAAAATCAATAAAGTACCGAATTTCGGGAGGTACCGTTATATGGGGGCTATACCAAAACGTGGAACTACATGGGCCATTTTCAATACCAAAAGTCCTGCAGACATAACATACATTTGAGTAAAATTTTATCAATCTACTTCAATTCGTTCGGAAGCTAGAGTGGTTTCCACAGACGGATAGACAGACAGACAGATGGACATCGCTAAATCGACTTTGAATTATACTCTGATCAAGAATATATATATGGGTCTAAAATGTATATTTCGAGGTGTTGCAAACGGAATGACAAACTTCATATACTCTCCATACTATGGTGGAGGGTATTTGAAGTGGGAAATTGCTTAATAACTATGACCTTACATTCTGTGACCATTTGAACTTTACTTTATATCCGAATTCTCATAGTCCCTCATTTCAAATTTTATAAATCTTGCTGAACTCCTTTGCTTTTACTCCCTAATGCCTCGCATCTGCGAGTATATGTGAAATTTCACGATTCTACCCTGAAATTGTAATAATAAACTCCTTTGAAGAATTTTATGATATTATAAAAATGATATATGAAATTTATACTTCCACTAAATAAAGTGCTTCGGAATTTCTTCATTTGTTTAAAGTAAATTTATTTTTTGAATTCATTCAAATAAAGTTCTTAAAACTCAAAATTGTTTTCCCCCTAAATAACCGTTATTATCCAGTCGTAACAGTTTTTCCTCCGAAATTTCACTTTTGATTGATGGCCAAATTTAAATGCATAAAACATCTTCCACTCGAAGTCGAACTAAACAATGCGAAGTGTAGTCAGGACTGACTTCAACTTTTGTGCAAAAATGGTACGTGCCAAAACGAAAGCAGCATTGATGATGATGATGTTTACCGTAAGAAGTTTCAAGTGGCACCAGCAACAACTACATACGAACAACAACAACTACAAAGTATTCAAACATGTGTGCAGGTACTTGTGGTGATTGTGTTCCGTTTACTCTTGGCCATTGGTGTTTTGACTTTGCAAAATGGCTATGAACTAACTGTGTAGCTCATGAGATTACATGTTGCCAGCAACAGAAATTCCGTATGGAGCGTTGAGAGCAAAAGTAGCTCAATACAAAAAATCTTCAAAAACAAGATTCTGGAAAAATGCAGAAACATCTAATTAACGTTTTTCAGATTTTTTTTGTATGAAATGCTTATGTCTCTGACTATTCATTAAAATCGTGGGTTTAGAAATGATACAAGAAATATCCTTGTCATAACCTCCACCATACATAGTACGGAGGGTATATTAAATTCGTCATTCCGTTTGTAACTCATCGAAATAATAATTTTAGACATAACAAAGTATATATATTCTTGATCAGGGTAAAATTCTAAGACGATTTAGCCCTGTCCGTCCGTCCGACTGCCCGTCTCTTGTAATCACGCTAGAGTCAAAAGGAAGCTAAAATTTTGCACAGATTAGTCTTTTGTCTGCAGGAAGTTCGAAGGTGGGCTATATCTGTCCACGATATTGTATAGCCCCCATATAAAGGTACCTCCCAATATTCGGTATTTGGATGATTTTAGCCAATTTTTTCCATGAAATTGTCTGAAAATTCACAATAGGAGTTCCTTGTGAGTACATTACTCCCAGGATTAGTATTTTCTATATAGGTCCACGATACCGTATACACCCCATATAACGTCACCTCCCGATATTCGGTATTTTGATGATTTTAGCTACAATTTTTAATGAAAGTTTCTAAAAATCCGTACTAGAAGTTATTTCTAAGCCCTTTACCCCCTGGAAGAGTATTGTCTATATAGGTCCAAGACATCGTTAAGCCCACAAACAACGGTATCCCCCTCCCCATTTTCAATATTTTGACGATTTTAAGGACATCATTCACCGGAGTTGTTTATAATTTGGTACTACATTCTATGCCAGAAAACTTTCTATGCAGGTCCAGGTCTTCGTATAGCCCCCATATAACTACACCTCCCGATATTCGGTATTTTGATGATTTCAGCGACGTTATTCACCGAAATTGTTTGAAATTTGGTTTTTAAAGTTCTTAATGGATACTTCACCCTATGACAGAAAATTGCCTGTGCAGGTCCACGTCTTCGTATAGCACCCATATAACGGCATGTCCCTATATTCGGTTTTTGGTGATTTTAACTACAATATTCTCCGGAGCTGTTTCAAATTTTGTCTTTAGAGTTCGTAATGGGAACTACTTCTATGCCAGAAAATTTTCTATGAAGGTCCAGGTCTTCGTATAGGCCCCATAAAACGGCACCCACGATATTCGGTATTTTGATGATTTCAGCGACGTTATTCACCGGAATCGTTTCAAAATTGGTATATGAAGTTCGTAATGGATACTACAGCCTAAGGCAGAAAATTGTCTGGACACGTCCACGTCTTCGTATAGTCCCCATATAACGGCACCTCCCGATATTCGGTATTTGGATGATTTCAGCGACGTTATTCACCGGAATCGTTCCAAATTTGGTATTTGAAGTTCGTAATGGATGCTACAGCCTAAGGCAGGAAATTGTCTGTGCAGGTCCACGTCTTCTTATAGCACCCATATAACGGCACGTCCCTATATTCGGTCTTTTGGTGATTTTAGCTACATTATTCACTGGAATTGTCCAGGTCTAGGTCTTCGTATAGGTTTTTTTTCGAGTTTCATATTTGAATATTGTAATGGTCAACGTCTTCGCATAGACGCCCAATATAAGGGCTATATTCGGTATTTTTAAGATTTTAAGAGAATTGTTAACGGATTTAATTTTTTTTTTTTGGAAATTTTCAAATTCGTTCCAAATGGTGGAGGAGGGTATTCAAAGTTCCGCCCGACCGAACTTACTGTTTTTTTTACTTGTTTACTTGTTTACTTGTTTTGACTTATTTTTATCTAACGACCAAATGTGTCTTATAATTTGATTTGTAGGGCATTTCACCTTTAAACATTCCAATTTGCTATTCCACTTAAGTCCTTTTGGGTGGACGAGACCTCAGATGTGTTTTTTTTTCTCTCTCTCTCTCTCTCTCTCTCCTGCTCATGATACCATTTTTGCCCATAAACCATTTTAATCTTTCATAATCTCTGCATTACTTCTGTTCAATTCAAGTCTCAGTGGTTTTGGAAATTGAATTTTCTATTCGACTGCAGGCAAGGTTGTTGTTGTTGTTGGAATGCAACTCATTTTGTCGAGATGATAGAAGATATCAAAACTGAGATTTTTGTTATTAAGAAATCCTGAAACTCTATTATCAATGATAAAATTTTATTTTAGATGGCAAATCTATGTAGATGTTTATAAAATGGTTGAGGGATTGGCTGATTCACTGATCCACTCATAAACCGACAGACGAAACCGCTGAAGCTAGAATCTTATAATTTTGTCTGAGGGTCAAACTAGGGGCGGCGGGGCGAGATAAGGCTGGGTTTTTGGTAATTAGTACCAGTAGGGGAAAGTACAAAAATGTACTAATTATGGTATATCATTGAGCGATTGGGAATGGATAGATTTAGGATACACAAACTTTAAACGTACGGAGAGTACTCTCAACTACTAATGTGGTGCAATTATTGTACCCTACACCACAAGTTGGTCAGGGGATTATGTCTTTGTGCATTTGTTTGTAACCAGCAAAAGAAAAGTAGATAGACCAATAGTTCCTTTTGATGATCTGCATAGAATCACATTTTGAGAAGATTTATGTATGTCCGTCGGTCTATCTGTCCATGTATTTTTGTTAACAGGTCGCATTTATTGCCTGATCCAGATAAAACGTTGCACAAGTTATTTGTTTGACCCAAGGACGAACACTACTGAAATTAGTGATAATCGGATCAGATTTAGATATAGCTCCCAAGTATCTTCAACCGATTTCGGGTTAATTGTGACCAAATGGCCATTGCAAGTCCAAATTTTGGCACATCCAACAGAAGCAAGTACATCAAATTTGGTGAAAATCGCTACAGATATAGCTATATATATATATGTTCTGTCCGGTTTGGTGTTGAAGTCCCCCACATGAATGATATTTGGTACCAGATCCAGACCGGAAATACCTCTGCAAAATGTTATCTAGATCGGTGCTGATTTGGACATAGCTCCCATATATCTTCAACCGATTTCGGGTTAATTGTGAAACAAATGGCCGAAAATCAGTCAAAAAGTCCTGAATTTTGGTACTTCCTACCGAATTCAGTCTAGAAGCAAGTACATCAAATTTGGTGAAAATCGGTTCAGATATAGCTATAGCTCCCATATATATGTTTCATATGATTTGGTGTTTAAGTCCCTCACATTCGTAATATGGTTTCGACAGCAATGATATTTGGTACCAGATATCTTATAGAGTTTCCGAGCTCTACCTTTGCCAAATTTGGTATAAAAATCCGTTGAGAGTGTGAAGGGCTTAGACAAAGGAGTGCTGTACCAAAATAAACAAAGCTTTTTTTAGTTAAAAATAGGAGAAGAACAGTTATTGGTGAAAGAAGCATAAGCCACCTTAGTCTGATATAAATATTACAACCTGCCAGATTTGGACTAATAAGTAATAATTTCTGGAAAATATTAAAATGAGCGTGAGGTACCAGATATTGGGATGTGAAAAATTTTGAGAAAATCGAACATCGAACAATCGAAAATAAAAACATTTTTTAACCTTTTATAGGGGAGGTACGCGAGGGAATGGGTCGGTACATTCCGTATTCACATCAGATCTCTAGTTCTGAAAAATATTTTGATTTACCATGTTGTATAGAATAGCTGACTTGTTTCGAAAGTTATGAGAGACATATGCATTGAAAACTGTAACCCTTTTTGGGGGAGTTACTAGAAGGGGTGGGTCGATCTGTAACATCTTTACACCAGTGTTGAGTTGGAGGTTATATTAGGATGTGTGAAATTTGAAATGAAAATGGTTATTTCGCTTTCATTGAGCGTTTTATTGTTCAAAATCTTGAACCCTATGTGGGGGAGGTACCAGAAGGATCTCTGCCATCTTTATAACATATCTTGTATTGATGGAAAAATTGAGATTTGTCAAGTCTGAATGGAATCGGACGTTAATGTCGCGCTTTATGGAGCTTCATGAATATTTAAAATTTTAACACTTTGTGGGGAGGTACCAGAAGGAGTAGACCAATATATCCCATCTTCACAGCAGATCTTGTGTTAATAGTAATAATGAGATTTGTGAAATATGAAGAGGACCGAATGCTTATTTCGGATTTTATAATCGTTTTGGTTATTCAAAAATTTGACCCTTTGTGGGACAGGTACCAGAAGAGGTGGACCGATATATTCCATCTTCACATCAGACCTTGGTTTAATAAAAATATTTCGATCTGGAGACAATTGGGCTCTTACATGACATTTTATAAGAGCAATACTTATTCAAATTTTTGACCTTTGTGGGGGAGGTACCAGAAGGAGTGGTTCGATATTTATCCATTTTCACAGCAGATCTTGTGGTAGCAAAAATAATGAGATTTGTAATATATGAAGAGAACCGAATACTTATTTCGGATTGTATAATCGTTTTGGTTATTCAAAACTTTGACCCTTGGTGTGGGAGGTACTAGAAGGAGTGGTTCGATCTCTACTATCATTGTAAAAGATTTTGCGTTGATGGAAATATTGAGATGTGGCAATTCTGAATGGAATCGGATGTTAATATCGCGTTTTATGAGCTTCATGTATATTCAAAATTTTGACCCTTTGTGTAGGAGGTACCAGAAGAGGTGGACCGATATATTCCATCTTCACATCAGACCTTGGTTTAATAAAAATATTTCGATCTGGAGACAATTGGGCTCTTACATGACATTTTATAAGAGCAATACTTATTCAAATTTTTGCCCTTTGTGGGGGAGGTTCTTGATGGAGTGGACCAATATTGTCCATTTTTGCACCTAGCACTCATGCAAATATTAGGATTTGCAAAGTTGGAGCAAAATCGGATTATCCTTTCTCTTTCTGTGTAGTATTTTTTTTTTTTTTTTTTTTGAAAATTTCGACCTTTAGTTACCAGATTTAGCCCATTTCCGAACTAGATATTAGTTTGATAATAATATTATGATATACCAAATCGGATTCTCCCTTCGAGAGTTATTATGCGCATCAGCCAGACAGACAGACGGATGGACACCCCTAGATCGACTCCAAATGTCCTGAAACGGATTTGGTCCAAAGAGACCTAGGATCTTAACCCATTATTTCGTTGAGGCACATTTGGGCCGTATCAATTGATTTATATCCTCTGTAGCCATATGGCTAAGGGTATAAAAACTGTAGTCCACTATCCGATGTCTTAACCACTGTCTTGACCAAAAAAACCCACCTACAGCAGATAGACATCTGGCGATGTGAAAGCAACAGCTACACGTATTTTTTTCTGTTTATAAACAAAATGTCAACAGTTCGAAAGTTTTTTATTTTCCAAGTAGACCATGTCCATGTTTGCTGTTATTTTGGCCATGGAAAGCCAAAATAGCTGCTAACATTGACTGCCAGCGGATATCCGTGGGAAGGAAATTGAAAATGTTAAAAACACAAAATAAATGCGAATTTTATTGCTGTTGCTTTGTAGATAAATTATCCAAAGGCAAACGAACCAACGAGAGGACAGACAGCCAAACAGACTGTGAAAAGAGAATGAAAAAAATTATAGTCCTACTAATGTGTCCATAACTTTAAATAACAACAAAAACAACAACATTTATTTGCAGATGGCTGCGGATGATACACACCCGGGAACTTGGGAACACGCACTGCCCACCATTAGAGGCGAACAGTGAAAACGAAACTGCCGGCAGCAATAAACAAACGGAAAACATCGATAACTCAGCAGCAGCGGTGGCAACGGTCGGGAGTATAAGTAAACAACGTTGCTGGTCACTGAGGTACTGGTGCTGGCCATAGGCGAAAACTTGCAATCCGCCAACGAAGCGAAACACTTTCAGTGTTACCCTCATTAAAAGGCCAAGCGAAAAAAAAAACGAACGAAGCAAAAGTCTGGGCCAATCGGCCAAGTGTGTTTTCCACGGAGCTGTACTGTGAAACGCCACAAAACAATCAGTCAATTAGTAGTGCGTGCCGAGGTGGCTGCTTCGGGGAATAGTGGAAATTAGTGGCCACCACAACAGCACCACTCCGATTCGCAACTCTGCTGGGACACAGAACGGAAATTCGAAACGGATACTTGGAGGGCTTTAAATTGAAAATAAAATCGGAATTAAAGGCAATAACTTAAGGGAAATAATTTGCAAAGCAAAGGTCACCCAAAAGAGAGAGCGAGAGAGAGAGAGTGGCAGCAGACGAGGGACCTTTTTCGCCATACCCTTCTTAACAAAGACTGATTTATGTTCATATCTTCATCTTTATCTAGGAAATCAACAACAGCATCACAGCCATATCTTCATCTTCATCTGCTATCCGCACAAATAACAACAGCAACACACAAACTCACAACTTTAGTTAGCTGGAATCCTTAACAAGCATCCACAGGAACTACAACGTGTATACTCTTACTCCTCCTCACCCCCTTGAGCGCTCATAGCCTAGCCTAGGATTCACGTATTATGAAAATTGTAAAATTCTCGTTACGTTACAACAAACTTGTCAACAACAACAATAACAATAACGTCAATATCAAGAACAGCCAGCATTGCAGCAGCTGTGACAACTGCTACAAACGGATTACAACAAGGACCAATAACAACAACAACAACATCCACAACTTTATATTCTTCAGATACATTATAATTCGGCAAAGCCATTATTCTTACCCACACTACGACACAGACAGCAACAACGACTACAACAACCTCTACGATTTTAATTTCCAACACATTGACACGTTTCCGAAGAAGGAGACGAAGGAAGCCTCCTGGAGCATTGCAAGGACAAGGAGGAAGGATATTTTTATGGCCAACATGTTTGTCTTTATCATCGTTATTTTAATTGTGAATGCCTGCATAGCCGGTAAGTACCAGAACACCTTCAAAGATTTTCACTTCTACCACTATAATTGTTGTCGTAGTTTTTTTATTTCCATCCATTATTGTTGTTATTGTTTGTATAAGTTTCTCGGTAAACTTCCGCCTGAAGATAAATTACCACCTACCTCGGGCAAGCACTTTATTATCAATCTCAATTTTCAAATAAATTTTTAAAACCAACACTAATTAAAGTGGAATTTTTGGGGAATATAAACCAATTAAGCATTTTCCATATTTCATGAATTGAAATTCAGTTGGAGATTGAAAGAAAAAACACAAATTGCGAGTGAATGAAAAATTTGATTTAGAGGGAGAAAAAAATAAAATGTTGCAGATAATTTGTTAAAAACGAAACTAATCGATGGTGATTAAAATATAATTGGGGGAGACAGGGCAATGTTCAAATATGATAAAAATATTGGAATTTTGATATTTGTTTTATAAAATAAAAATTAAATCCCAGGAGTGATGAGTTTTGCTTTAGAAAACTAAATATTTTCTATAGAAAAAGGTCTGTGATTGAGAAATAGCTTAAAGGACGAAGTAAGGAATTTTTTCTATAGGAAAAAATTTTCCATGGGTACTGGGGAATCTCCTTCTTTGGTATAAAATCTGATCATTGGAGCTAAATCCTTTATAGAAGATATTCCTCAATTCCTGAAGACTGTTTTTTTCTTTTGAAAAAATTCCCTGTTTTTGGAGACTGATAAAAAAGCGGAAAACTCTCAGAACTTTATTTTTTCTATAGGAAAAAATTACTAATCCCCGAGCACAGTTTTTTTTTTGTATCGCTAAAAAAACCCAAGTTTCCGAGGATCGAATTCTTCAGTCCTCAGCTCCTGTGACCAATTTTATACCCTTAAGCATACATAGAATGGAGGGTATATTAAGTTCACCACTCCGTTTATAACTCATCGAAATAATAATTTGATTAGCCTAAAATTCTAAGACGATTAAGCCCTGTCCGTCTGTTGTAATCACGCAGCAGCCAAAGCGAATTTAGATAGGAAGCTAAAATTTTGCACAAATTTGTCTTTTGTCGGCATGCAGGTCAAGTTTCGAAGATGGGCTATATCGACCCACGATATAGTAAAAACCCAATAAAATGATACCCCCAATATTCGTGAGTACTTTACACCTTGGGAGAACTGTGTATATAAGTCCACGATAACGTATTCCCCCATATAACGGTACACCCCAATATTCGGTATTTTGATGATTTCAGCCACATTTTTAATGGAATTCTCTTAAAATCAACACAAGGGTTTCCTTATGAGTACTTTATCCCATAGAAGAGAATTGTCTATATATGTCCACGTTTTAGTATAGCGCCCATATAACGTTACCCCCAGATATTCGGAATTTTTTATGATTTTTGCGACATTATTCACCAGAATTGTTTCAAATTTCGTATATAAAGTCCGGAACCGTTGCTACAGCCTATGACACAAATTACTTATGTAGGACCACGACTTCGTATAGACCTATACAAAGGTTTTCATTTGAGGGGTATTTTTCGTCGGTATTTTTTTGAAATTTTCAAGTTTCTTCCAAATGGTGGAGGGTATAAAGCTGCATTTTCACTTATTTCTTCTATAAAATATCCTCTTTTCCTGAGGACTGACTTTTATACCCTGCGCCATGCATAATATGGAGGATTTAATAAGTTTGTCATTCCGCTTGTAACTCCTGGAAACAAGCATTCGAGACCCCAAACAGTATACATTTTCTTGATCAGCATTAGATTGTATGTCGATTTGCCATGTCTCTCCGTCTCTCTGTGGAAATCCCTTTAGCTTTAGAACAAAATGAAGCAGGTTGATAAATTTTTATTGAGATATACATATTTTAGGTCCATAGGTATTGAAATTGATCATATGGGTCCAAGTTTTGGTACTGTCTCCATATAACTGTATCCGAATATTTAATGTGATTTTGCGCATAATTTGTTAAAAACGAACTAAAGGATGGTGACAAAAACATAATTGGGGGAGACACGGCAATATCCAAATATTAAAAATTTTCGAATTTTGATATTTTAATTATAAAACAGAAATAAAATCCCAAAAGGTAACGAATTTGTTGCTACAGAAAGGTTTGTGATTGAAGAATGCATTCTACAGCTTAAAGAACGAAGTATGGTTTTTTTTCTATGGGAAAAAATTGTCCCTAGGGACTGGGGAATTTTTTTATGCCCTAAGCCATATGGCTGGAGACGGTATACAGGGTGAGATAAAAAACTGTAACAAAGTCAAACGCTATAATTCTTACATTTTTTTAATGTTATTGAAAGAAAGCTAAAAATGCCGGAAATAGCTTTAAGTTTCTTAGATTTGTACGAAATGGTCATCTTTGGCACGAATTATGGCCTACAAACGCCCTACGAAACCGCAACAAGTTGCCCGAATGTTGCTCTGCGGTATTTTGGCTCTACGCTTTGGTAGTTTTTAGTGCCAACGTTGCTTTCCAAAATACTCCAGACACAATCGTTCAACAGATTGGTATCTGAAGATTTTGGTGGTCATTGTGCGCTGGAAATGAAGCGAGGAACTTCATTTTGTAACCATTCTTGGGCGGCGGGTTCTGAGCGTGCGCCCAAGGCTTTAATAGACCCTCCAGAACATTTTTGCGATATTCGGCATTTATTCTTATGTCCCGGTCGATTAATACGAGCGGAGTGCGACCATAGGCTGTTATGGTGGTCCACCTCATCGCCATGGGCGGCGCATGAGTTCTGGTGGCCAACCGAAGGTGCCCATTTTCAGCTGACCTCTTTGGCAAGTAAACACGATCATTTTGTTTGTTCACAAAATGCTGGACAACGAATGTTTTCTCATCGGAGAAAACCAAATTCGGTAGTTCACCATTTTCGGCGAAGCGAAGTAACTCTTTAGCTCTTTTGAATCTATTCTCTCTCTGTTGCGGTGTAAGTTCTTGCGCTTTTAAGAAGGTCTGGTGTGAAGATAGAATATATCGCTCCACACCTTCTGGTACCTCCCCCACAAAGGGTCAACATTTTGAATATTCATGAAGCTCATAAAACGTGAAATTAACATCTGACTTGGTGCATCTCAATTCACAATTTCATCTGGTACTTCACTACATAGGGTTCAAATTTTTGAAAAAAAAAGAAAGTTATATAAGCTTCCAACTCTCTTTAATTGTCACACATCCAAACATTTTTGCTAACACAAGATCTGTTGTGAAGACGATATATATCTGCGTATACCTTCTGATAACTCACCCGCAAAGGGTCACAATTTTCAATACTTTTATCTATCATAACTTGCGAAACAAATCAGCGATTCTTAGCGATAATTATGTTACATTTATTTAGGCCCTATACGAATTGGAAAATTTTGGTCCATTCCTTCGGATCCTACTCCATAGAGACTCAACAATTTGAATGATCATAACAGAAGTTAAAATATATTTAAATAACCGAACATTGGCTGAGGATATACATCTGTCGGCCAAACCGGCTGGTACCTTTTAGCTTGTTTATTTAGAATAAAAATTCTTTCTCTGGAAGCTAACTATTTTTTTATTGACAGAACGTTGAATTAAAGAAGATTTCATTTCTACACAAAAAATTTTCTGATTTTTTTTTAAATATCCGGACACTGGAAACTGATTCTTAACTATACATTAAGGACTGCCAAATTTTTGCCTATAAAAAACTTCAGTCTCTGTGAGCGTTTTTTGGTATTTTGTGATAAAGATATTTAAATAATCTGATTTAGTCCTCTAGAAGAAATTTCTCTTTCACTGAAGACTAACTATTTTCTATAGAAAAATTCCTTCAGCCAATGAGACTTTTTTACTCTGTAAAAATGTTTCTGGTCACAGTGTTCTAATTTTTCCTATAGCACTGAAGACTTTCTTTTCTGTAAAAATGACTCAACCACTCTTTAGTGGTTTAGTGGACATATATTTCCCATATAAAAAATCTTCAGTCCTAATGTGCGATTTTTACTACTTTTCTATAAAAATCATATTTTAGCAAATATATACGAAATTTTTTATTTCATAAAAATGACGAAAAATTTAAAAAATCTTTAATATATATTTTTTGTTACTCATAGCAATTTTTGCTCCTTCCATTACCATCATCGTCATCTGCATACATGCGGTGTTTGGCAGTTTAAATCTAATAAATTATCGAGATGTTTTCTTTGCATGTTAGGAAAAACAACCGCCATGCATGGACAATTGCTTTCAAATTGTAGACTTCCTATTCTTGGGAGCGTAACATGACATCGGTAAATAAGTTATCACACACACACTCTCCTACAGGGATGCATAGTTATGGACTTTTATTATGAGGTGGGTATAATATCTTGGAAGAAATTTTCTTAGCAACTCGGGTCTACAAGGGTCATGGGAGGATTTACCCAAAATGAGATTAAATTTACTAAAGACTTAGTCATTTAATAGCACATATTAAGAGTGGCGTCAATCTAGTTCATAATTCAGTACCTGTTCCAAAACGTATGAGTAATTTCATAAATGTCACATCACTCATACGCACAATTTTCACACAAACGACCGGATTTCACGGTAGAGCCATAACAAATTAGTTCAATCAAACGAACTAGATCAGTGAAATTCCTACCACAGGGTGAGATAAAAAACTGCAACAAAGTCAAACGCCATAATTTTTACATATTTTTTTAAATTTTATTGAATGAAAGCAAAACATGTCGGAAATAGCATCAAATTTTAGAAAAACGTTAGATTTGTTCGATTTGGTCACCTTTGGCACGAATTATGGCCTTCGAAAGGCCAATAAAACCGTTACACGCTGCCCGAATGTTGCTCTGCGGTATTTTGGCCCATTCTCGGTGAAGCGCTTGCTTGAGGTGATCGACACTTTGGTATTTTTTAGTGCCAACCTTGCTTTCCAAAATACTCCAGACACAATAGTCCAACGGATTGGTATCCGGAGATTTTGGTGGCCATTGTGCGCTGGAAGTGAAACGA